CAAAAACTGGAGAGAATGAACCAGGAGAGAGAAAAGGCCACTTTTAGGAGGGGTTCAAAAGGGTCACACACAATTACTGGCCGGCCATATGATATTGGTGGCCTCCCAGGTGTGTACAACACAAATATGTGGTTTGGGGCAAGAAAAAGTGGCCTTAGGGTAGTCAACATTGGCTTTCAAGTGGGAAAAACGGGCGACGGAGGGCGATGGAGGAATAAAACATGGTCGTCAGAACAATTGCTGGCCTCCCACCCTTCTACGACCTTTCTAACAATGAAACAGAGGTCCCTTCCAAAAAATGAACTCAAACCGATGTAAAACGGAGGTTCAGGGGCCGAAACGCGCAGCCCGAGGCCCCGAAAACTGACTGTTAGGCACCGGAAGTGGTGTTCGACCACGAAGTTGGTTTTTCGGACAGCAGTGTCCTTCAAAAGGGAGTAAATAAGATGCATGCCAAAAAACAGAGCAAACGGAGGTGGTTAAGCGGTCCCGAACCGAGGCACACGGCCAACGGCTCCGAAAAACCGGAAACGGGACTCCAAACGGGAAAAATGGCCTACGACCATGAAACGTAGCCTACGGCCACTGAGAGATGATCTACGAGACCTCTCTCTCCCTTCTGGAAGAGAAACAGAGAAAATCGAGCCTGGTTTGCGAACCGAGGCAAAGCACGCAAGAGCCCCGAAGTCCGGAGGCAAGGCTCGCAGCCGAAACTTTGAAACTTCTGAACGAGCACAATATGCACCATCATCGAGCGCTCAATCGGTGACATCTGTTTCTTAAGGTCGGTCAAAAATGGGGTGTCTACAAGGGGACTTGGCCCCATCAGCATCTTTGATTTTTCTGACCAAAGCCTCATCCTCTTCCTCATCGGCATCATCAGACTCAGATTCGCCGACGTCTTGATTTGAGGGTTGGGCTGGAGGGAATGGAAGTGGAATATTGTCGGCATTTCTCAGAGGTGAATCATCAGGAACATTTAGTTTTTTCAGAAGAGACATCCAACCAAGGGTGAAACCCTTGTTGCATGCCTGCTTCACTTGAAGTTCATAGGCCTCTGTAACGTCGGCCATGCCTTGATTATAGGCCTTTTCATCGACTTCTTTAATTTCAGCTTCCTTGGTGGCCAGGGCCTCCTGAAGCTCTTTCTCAGCTTGGGCCATCTTTTCCTCGGCCTCTCTCCTTTGAGATTCAGCCACTTTTCTGATAGCCTCAGCAGCCTCGGCCTTCTCTTCGGCATTATTCTGAGCTTTAATTGCAGCTTCGGCTTGATCCTCCAGCTTCTTCATTTTTTATTCAAGGTCCTTATTGATCTTTTGAATAGAAGAGAACTCCCTTTTCATGTCGACCATCCTTTGCCGATTCTCAAAGGACTGCATTGAAAATGAGTGGGCATGCTGGATGGCCTGAAAGAAAAACAGAGGTATTAGAAAAAATTCAAAGTATGAAAAAGGAAAATTATCAATTAGAAGACATTTACTTGAACAGAGTGTTGAAGCATTAGGGCGTAATTCTCATACTCGCTAAAGCCAGCATTACGCTCCAAGTCCCCTGGCAGAAGCAGAGCTGTACTGAGTGCTACGCCGACATTGATGTCATCGGCACTGTCAGTGGACAGGACTGGCTTGTCCTCCAGAGTAATTTTTGGAGTCCAAGGGGCACCGCTCTGTTTGGACCCCGAAGTTGTCGCGGAAGAAGATCTCGGCTTTTTGGATTTTGGGGATTCTGATGGCTGAGTTGCAGAGCGCCTCTTCCCAGTAGAGGATTGAGGTTTGTCGCTCTCAGCCAACTTTGATATAGGCAAAGCATCCTCAGACTCAATTTGAGTAACTTTAGCCTTTGGAAGGGCCTTCTTAATTCTTTTTGGCTTAGGTGGAGGAAGGGTTTGTGCTGGTTGATCATCAACCGATGTTGGAATACTGGCCAGAAGATCTTTCGCGATTGGTTTTGCGCGACCCATCTTGGCAGTGGAAATCGTTCGACATCGACGGCGGCGCTGTGAAATTGGAACCAAGTATGGAACTGAAGTAGACAGTTGCTTGACCGGATCAGAAGTTGACCCCTGATCTGTCCGAGATGTGGATGCAATCTGTGGAGTAGTGACAGAAGGTGGAGATAAGCTTTTCTTCTTCTTTTTTCTTGGGATGTCGGGGAGAGCTGATTTGTATGTCGGGATGAAGTTGAGAAGTAGGGGTGCCTTTCGCTTCTCGATTGGCAAATCCAGAAGTCTCTTCAACTCTTTGCTGGGGACAAAGGATTGGCGAAAATTTTTTGGTGGTTGACGAACAGCTGCAAAAAGAACAGACGTCAGAAACAGACAGAATATTTAAGACCCTAAAAGAAAACAGGCAAAGCTAAATGCTGGGCTCTTACCCTTGCCCTCTAAAACTGATCGGGGAAGAGGGTAGAGATGGATGTCCTCGTCTGGAGCAAACTCCCAATTTCCCGAGGTAATAAGATAGTCATCTCCAGCCCCCTTGTTGGAGTCTGGGAGGTCGGCTATGATTTTGAATTCTGTAGACCTCGGCTTAAGATAATAAATGAAGCCTTTTTCTTTCAAGTTAAGGGCACACATGGTGTAGCAATATTGGATGTCGACAAGGGTGATCCTAGCGTTTTCCTATTTAGCTAGGGCTATGATACCAAGGATCACTCGATAGGAATTGATTGCCAGTTGCATAGGGTTCAACTTATAATAATGAAGAATCTCGCGAAAAAGAATGTTGAGTGGGAGTCGGAGTTCGCACTCAGTAAAAGCTACAATGGGAAAGGGCATGGCATTTTCTGTAGGCATGATGGAGTCATCATCCCCAGCCAGTCTCAGATGGACATCGGCAGGGATGGAGAACTCCTGCCTAAAGTACTCAAGTTTAGTCGGGGTATCTACCCTATGTCTCCACATAACCATGATATCGGCTTGAATTAGAAGGGTTGAAATTCAGAAAGATGTTTCTTATTGGTAGGACCTCGGCAAATACCTAGGTTTGGGCTCGTACAGAAATTTGTAAGGAATGTTTCAGTTTTGCCCTAGATCATGGGTTCTACAAACAAATCCCAAACCTAAAGCTATGAAGATGAGGATCAAAGGTACAGATCTGGAAAAGATGCAAAAAACAGAAAACAAAAACAAAGTTTCAGAAACAAGAATTGGGATGGGCTATCAAGAACATGAAGAATACAAGAGTATATGGCCAAGAACAGTGGCAAAAGTGCAAAGAAGTGGTGAAACAGTGCGTGTGTTCAAAATGTAGGCGAAGTCAAAATCATGGATGAATGCATTCAGATGTACGATTTATGAATTAAAAAGCTTGAAACAGTACAGTAATGGCGACAGCAAAAAAAAAAAAAAAGGAACTGAAAACGAAAGGAACAGTAACTTACCAATGAAAGGGAAGCCGGAAAGGGATTTGCCGATGTCCTAAGACGATTGCAGGAGCAGAAGACCAGTTGAAATCTTGCCGGAAGGGGTGAACGGAGAAGGTTGCAGAGCTTTGGAAGCTTGAGCGATGGAAGATTTCGAAAGCTAGAAAGAGAGTAGGAGATTCGAATGAAAAAGTGAAGAGACGGAAAAAAAGGGAAAATTTTTTGATTAAACAGAAGCGGCGGCAAAAGCAATCAATGCGCCTAGAAGAACGAGGGCGTCAGATGGCGCACGTGAGAAAAGAGGTGACTAACAAAGCGCGTCACCTATACGGACCAATAAGAGGGAAACACATAGCTAAAACAGTTGAATTGAAGTGCATGACAACTTATGCGCGTGAGAAGTTCCTTAAAAATCTTGATTTTTTAGGGAAGCATGTCGGCCAGAATGGATGATCTAGGCTATCAAACTCTAAACCGATTTACTGGAAGAAAATACAGATATAGGTTTCATCACCTCAGAATGCCGAGGTAATAGAACCTAGGGGGCAGTTGTGGGGATGTATTTTCTGAATACCAACACGTGGCAAGGTGACGCCAACGTGTCAGCCGAGGTGCCACGTGTCCTGGTTGTGACGCCGAGGTTATCTCGGTGAGGCCGAGGTTATCTCCGAAGATATCGAAATCCGAAATAAGCGGATAATGGATAAGGGGCAAGAGTCCTAGAGTAAAGAGAAGACTTTGCTTAGATAAGGATAAAGCTCTTAGGGAGTTTATCTTTGTCTCTTGAGAAATCTAAAGTAAGTACAGAATGGGAGTCCATAGAAGTCAAGCTTCTAGTGGGACTAGGATTGAGAAAACTATAAAAAAGAGACACCCCGTGGGTTTAAGGTACGCAGTTTTATGCTTTGAGTAGTGAGTTTAGCACTTGATTATCTTTGAGAGATATATTGACTTGATCGTCGGAGTGCCCCCGGGTGGTTGAACCACCACCGGAGACTTCTCTTTCTGTTGGAAAACGAAACTAATGATGTTATTCTGCCAGTGCTCCCAGATTTTCTAGAAGAACGAAAAGAGAATGATTACTAGGCGGCAGTGCGAACAGAAAATTACCCACACAGGAAATTTTAAAGATTTAGGAAAAAAAAAAAGAGAAAAGTCCGCTACAATTTTTTTTTTTGGGAGTTTTTAAAAAATATATATTAGATCTTTCTACACTACACGATTCTAAACTGTCCAAAATTTTAACACATTTGAAAAAAATATATATATATATATTAAAAACAAAAAGAATGAAAAAAATAAAACTTTTTAAAATTGATTGCAAACTCACCATTAAAATTTAAAAATAAAAAATAAAAAAAGGCCGTAAAAAAGTTAAAGGCAAACTTCACCTTATTTATTTATTTTTTTCCCTTGTATAATTACTATAACCTGATTCGGACAACCATAAATTTGTTTAGAATTATCTGAACTCTATCCTTAACCATATTTGAGTTGGATAGTCCGTAAGTATCTTTATCTACGGTCTTACCAAAAATTGTAGCGAGGTGGTGACTTGTTATTGGTGAACCGTAAATCAGCTTATTAACGGGATATCCGTGAATAAGTTTCTCTCATTTTGCTATGCTGACGGATCAATGATTCTAGAAGCATACGTTGCTAAGGTGACGTAACAAAGTAATGACTTTTCAAATTACATACAATAAACAATGAGGTTCTTTTTTCCTTGAAATCTATATATAATGATATGCAACCTCAGCGAGTGAACAAGGCAAAGAATCCTAGTCCTAGTTATATATTATATTGATCTTAAAAGCTTTTGTGTGTGTGAAACAATGTCCAGTCACGACCACAAGAAAAAATTGAAGATAAGATCGAGAATGCATCTGAGAAGGCATACGGGATCGTGAAATGTTCTCCAAACCCACCCAGCAACAAAAGTTGTCCTCCAAAGCTTCCCAACAACAACAACAACAACAACAATTGTCCTCCAAACCAAACCAATCCCAGCTGTACCCCAGCTTCGCAACCTGGGATCAACATCATGGGTGGTGGAAAGATGGGCGACAGTTCCTACAACGTGATTGGGCCCGGGGGCAACAGTGGGACCATCAACTTTGGCGGTGGCAAGTAGCACCGCCCGCGTGTTATATGTATGTACTCACATTTGGAATGTCGGAGAAATTACAACCCTATATATAAATAATATCTGATGTTATTATGTGAGAAAAGTAGAATAATGGGGGTTTGTTTGCTGTTTATGCATGTCATCTTATGTTGCTTGAGGACCACTGCTACTACTACTACCTTGATTATTGTATGAGCAATACTTGATTGGAAATACAAACTGAGTTGTTCACATCTTGGTAGTTGTTGCATCTTCAGTTTAATTGTTCAAAACATGTTTTGTTATTATTATTTGGGTTAAATTTATTTTACCCCTTTATAGTTTGGAGCTGCTGTACCTTATCCCTTATCATTCCGATATAAGGTCTCAAATAATTTTGAATTAAAGTGTTACCGTTATTACACACACCATTTTTTATAGTGGTTTTTGTTTTCTAAAAAATTAGAATGAAATGAAATTTATACAACAAAAAGATAATTTTATCCCGTTTTCGCCAAACTTCAAATTAAATTAATATGTTAATTAAAATAAATGAAAATATAATTAAGAATTGATCTAAAATATAAAATATAATTAAATAAAATATAACATAAAAATAAAAAAAATTAAGAATTGATCTAAAATGTAATTAAATTAAAATTAGATTAACATGTTAGAAATTATAATAAATAATTAAGAATTTAGTATTAATTGTGATCTAAACTATAAGTAAATTAAAATTAGATTAAAAAGTTAGTAATTACAATAAATAGTTAACTATTTAAGATTAATTGTGATCTAAATTATAATTAAATTAGAATAAAAGTAAAAGTTTAAGAATTACGATAAATAATTAAGAATTTATAATTAATTGTGATTTAATTGAATTATAATATTAGACATTATAAATTATGTGTATAATAGATGAGAGAGAAAGAAAATAATAAAAAAATATAGAGTTTAAAGATATTATAGTCATTTCACATCAATAATTAACGGTGTTAATGTTTACATTTTTTGTCCAAACATGAAGGAATACAATTATTTTTAAAAGATAAGAGGTAAAGTACTATCAAATGATATTAGAGGGAGGTAACTATTATTAATGGAAGAAGATTCCAATCCAACATAATGTTTATGGATTGATTTTTTTTTTTTTTTATCAACAAAAACTTCATTGATGAAAGAACCTTCCAAGAAGGAGAAAATACATCAATAAAGGGGACAAAAAAGGACAGGGGGGAGGGGGATGATGCACAGCACCAAAACGGAACTGTTGGTGTGGGACCAACAAGAACACAAAAACACAACAGACAGCAGGATCAACGCAGACAGCAAGCTACCCTCCCAGCAAAGGTATATAGACTATATACATCACCCAGCACTGATACAAAACTGAGGCAAAACTGAAGTAGATTACCCAGGCCAGCAGCCCAGATTGGATACACACAGCATACAACATATAGCACTGATGGGTAGATTCACACAGTATACAACAGCAGAGCATACAACATACAAATTCACATCAATAGATTCACAAAACTGAAGCATACACCATCCAAAACTGAAGCAGATTACCCAGACCAAAACTGAAGTAGATTCACACAGCATACAACATCCAAAACTGAAGCAAAACTGAAGCAGATTACCCAGACCAGCATCCCAGATCAGATACACACAGCACTGATGGGTAGATTCACACAGCATACAACAGCAGAGCATACAACATACAAATTCACATCAATAGATTCACAACATACATATCAGATACAAACAGCAGAGCATTTAGAAACTTGTGACTGAAGCTATACAGATACCAACATACGCAGATACAAGCACACTTAACAGGTTGCTAGGTTATTGGTTCTGTCACTATAATAAATTAAAATTTTATAGGCAAAATCACCTTTTAGAATTTAATATTTTTGTTATCAAAAGTGTCATAATTATATTTTTTAGCAATAAAATTGGATATTTAATGATGAATTACTATCTTTTTTAGACCAAAATTTTTGTCTAAAAAAATAATTCTTTTTGGAAACAAATTATTTGGTCCCTAAAAGTGCATTTATTTGCAACATTTTTAAAATTTTGTCGCTAAAAATCTCTTTTTTAACTTTTTAAGATGACTTTTTAGTGACTATTGTTGCGACGGCAAGAATTGATCCTCAAATATTTTATACAACAAAATTTTAAATTTAAAAAAAAAATAATATTTAAAACTCTTATTTATTATAGTGCGTGCTGGGAAATTTGGATTGATAGTTGATTAAGGCCTCGTTTGGAAGCATGTTTTTTTAGTAATTTTTTAGCTTTTTGACTAAAATGTGATATAAAAAAAATTACTATGTTTGGGATGACTTTTTGACTTTTTACGAAAAGATGTGCAAAAAGTATAGAAAAAATAGAATCTTTGACTTTTAAGTATGAGTTGTTAACTTTTTGATTTTTGTAGTGACTTTTTGACTTTTTAATTAAAATAGTTATTTGTCAAATGAGGCCCAACCGTACCAATCTAAGAACCAAACCTATATATGTTTTTGAAGCAATTCCAAATCCGTGGGGGGACAAATAAAAAAAAAATTAAAAAAAAAAAAAAAAAAAAAAAAAAAAAGAAAAAGAAAGAGAGAAGGCAGAGATTACTTATGTTCTTTTTCTTACCATTAATGCTATGTCTTAAGTTTTAGATAACAAATACATAACTCTTAATCAGTGTGTTTGGTTTGAGTTTTTTGGATTAAGTTTTTTGAAAATTGAATTTTTTAGTTTTCGTATTTTTTTGTTTTTAGTGAATATTTAAAAAATTTAAACATTTTTTTTTTACTTTTTAGATGCACCTTACTTAGATGTATCTAAAAAGTAAAAAAATTGTGAAAAAATATTTTAAAAAATTAAAAAATACATAAAAATACAAAAAAATGTACTGAATTCTTATATTTCTTTTTTGTATTTTTGGTATTTAGTGAATTTTTAAAAGATTTTTTTTACAATTTTTTTACTTTTTAGGTGTATTTATGTTAGGTGTGTCTAAAAAGTAAAAAATTTGCATAAAATATTTAAAAAATTCATTAAAAACAAAAAAACATGAAAAATAAGAAAGCAGAATTTTCTGAAGACTGTTTTTAGAAAAATGGAACCAAACAAGCTGTTGTAATTAGAAAAAAAAAATAATATGATAAATTATAAAATTATACTTTTTATTTTTATTTTTAGGAACAAAACTACACGTCTTATAAAATATAAATATACTATTATTTTCTAAGGGTTTCATAATTTTAGTTGATGATATAATAAACTATTTGTGTATATATATAATAATTACTCTTTTTTTTTTCTTTTTTTTTCTGTGAAACTCAATCTAGCAAAATTTGTTTAAATCAAAAAATTAAATAATAAAATAAAAATAACAAACAATGAATCATTTTGTCATTCCTGAAATCAACATTTACCTATCAAGTACAAATTAGTACAATTTATAGATTTTCTCACACTCCCTAACTTTGACAACTCACATTTGGCCTTTTTTTTTGTTCTCATCCCTCACCCACCTCACGACTTTTATGACCCCAATTATCTAACCTTTCTTTTGCTAAATATCTTGACTTCTCTTTGTCAGTTGTCATTGCTTTTGCCTTGTCACCACTATTTTGCTAAACCTTTAAACTCACTTACCTATATTTGTATATAAAATATTGAATTTGGATAATCTACTTTTTTTATATTTTTAAATTACATAATGTTAGAATTATCATATTTGAATATTATATGATGTGACATCTTACATGGCACTAATTATATCATTTGATAGGCTCCACATGATATATATGAATAGTGCCATCTAAAGCATGATGGCAATTATGGTCAACATAAATTATTAAAATTTTATTTTGAGCATTCTTTTTAAAGATTTCAAATATAAAAAAACTAAAATTTAATCAAGAAAATGTATAGATGTATAGATGTATAGATTCTTTCTAGAATATTTTTCTTATGAAAATTTCATTTATGTCATAGAATTTTTATAATAAAAAATAACAATTTTTTCTCATATTCTTCTTAAACTTTAAATTTCAACTCCAAAATCTATCAATTATTGCTTGAATTAGATTTGGCTTACATGTAAACTTTTCATCTAATATATTTTTTAAAATTTTAAGTTAGACATGTTTGGATGGGTTAATAATTTTATGCGACATGTATTTATTAATTTTTATAAATTGAAATTAATATTTTGAAGCTCTTAAGACATTTTGGACAAAAAGTTATCTTGCGTTAATAAATAGATAATAATAGATTTGGAAAAATTATGAAAAATTTATCCATAAATCCCAAATGAGAGAATGTTGATTCATATAGTCCTAAGAGTTTTCTTATAAACCAATTTTTTTTTTTTTTTTTTATCGGCAAAATAAAACCTTTATTGATAAACAAAGAAATCATTACATCAAGAAAGGAAAATAAATGAGTGCAAAAGTATCATAATGAGACATACCAATCCCAACTAGGTTGCTACCAATATGCCCGCCCAATCCCTTGCTAACACGCCATCAAAAGTTGGTGAGCAACCAACCAAAGCCAAGAAAAAATAGCAATAAACATAACAAACAGCACCAAGATCAGCACCAAAATACCAAAATCAGCACCCAAAAAGCAACAACAACAACACCCAAAAAGCCGCAACAATGACACCGGAAAAAAAAAAAAAAACAACTCTGCAACACCAAAAAGTAGCAACAACTAGCAGCAGCACCACTAACAATCAGCAGCAACTGGCAGGGATAGCTTAGAGCCCAACCAGCAACAGGGCAGAAAACAAAGGACCACAACATAACAAAACTTGCAGCACACATTTCTTTAACAGCAAATATCAAGAATAACAACCTGCTACACACCCTACTTATAAGCACAATAGACCTCACTCCAAAGCTCTAGATCATCTCAACCTCTACGAATGCATACTCTAACCTCCCTTATGTTTGAGACCATATCATGGATTGAAAAATTGACACCCTTCAAACTTGATTTGGCCCACATTGCCACTCTTACCTTTACAATCTCCTCCACATCAGCAAAATTCAGATTAAGGCCATTGAATACACATTCATTCCTTACCTTCCAAATGGACCACAACATTGCAAAAGGTAACGGTTTCCAAACCTGCAACTCCAACTTTTTGAACTTAACCCCCATCCAGCAATTCATTAAACCCTCCACAATTGCAGGTATTACTCAACTGATTCCCAACCAATCCAACAAATCTGACCACACCTTCCATACTCTTGGGCAATGAATAAGCACATGAGAACCTATTTCAACCTCAGCTTTGCAAAAAGGGCACATAGAGTCCTCACTGCTTCTAATGACCCCAATATTGTGCAAGAACCCTGTTGTTTTAACCATGTCTTTCCAAGCTAACCACCCAAGCTAAACCAATTAGTTCTTTTTGTTTTGAAAAGTTGTATTTATTTGATTTGGTGCCATTTGAGTTCAACTAAATGTCCTTTTGTGATTTATTTTTTTAATTTTCTGATTTGTTTTTGGGATGGGAATGGAAAGGTGATACGTGGAAGATTCTTTTTGGGGAGATTGGTGGCTGAAGTGCTGGTTGTCAAACGTGAAAATCTACATTTCTATTAGTGTGGTTTTTTGGTGTTACATTGAGTGTTATATTAGAGTGTTACGTTTGGAAAAAATACACTAATAAGTTTTTGTTTGTTACATTGATTGGAGTGTTATATTTGCAAAAAAAAAAAAATTACACTAAGGAGTTTTTTTGAAATGTTATGTTGTTACGTTTAACAAAGGTACACCAAAGTGTTTTTTAGTGTGTTACATTGAGGTATTACGTTTAGAAAAAATATACTAAAGAGTGTTTGTGTATTACATTAATTGAAGTAGAAAAAATTCACTAAGGAGTTTTTTTGAAATATTTCATTATTACGTTTGAAAAAAATATATTAAGAAGTTTTTTAGTATGTTACATTGGAGTGTTACGTTTAAGAAAAACACACTAAGAAGTTTTTGTGTGTTATATTGAGTGGAGTGTTACGTTTGAGAAAAATACACCAAGAAGTTTTTTTTTTTTTTTTTTTTTTCAAAATGTTACGTTGTTACGTTTGAGAAAAGTACGCTGAGGAATCTTTTAGTGTGTTACATTGGAGTGTTACGTTTTTAGTGTGTTACTTTGGAATGTTACATTTGGAAAAAGTATACCAAGGAAGTTTTTTTTTTTTTTTTTCCAGTGCTACGTTTAGTAATTTCAATATCATGAGAAAACTCATATTTGTCTTTCAACACTTAATACACTCGCGTTTATGCTTAGCCCTTTATGTAATTCATACTAGAACGGGACATTTTGGGTCTATATAAAAAAAAATAAAATAAAAAAATAAAGAGAGAGAGAGAGAGAGAGAGAGAGAGAGAGAGGAGCAAACAGTTTATAAGATCACTATTTGAGATTTATTGGTGCTTCACCCAAAAATTATCACTCACAAATAATAATTATAGTTTAATTTGTCAATAAAAAACAAAGTGATAATTTCAGAATATGTATGCTTTCTATTATAGAAATTATAGTCAAATTATTGTTCATTAGAGATTGATGATTATAATTAAAGAAAACTAAAAAACTTACCATATTGATTAACAAAATAATTAAATTAAATAAAAATTAGATAATAACAAATAAGAAAGAACTATTTATATAACTATAGAGCTCATAATGTTATAATATAATTTTATTAAATTTTATCTTTTTATAGCATGTGTATTTTCATATTATCAATTTTAAATAAATTATTTTTTAAAAAGCATAATATACTACCTTATTGATTAATAAATGATATGATTTTAATATTTTGAAACATAAAAAAAGTTTGATTTGATTTCCATAGAAAATGATTCATAAGAGTAAAGTTTAAATGTTTAAATATATTATCATATTGATCAAATGACTAATAGTTTATTGACATGTGTATTTTATAATTTTTTAATTCAAAAATTTATGAAAATAAAGTTAGAACTTTGAGACTTAATGAACCAACAACAGTTTTGCTTATATTGTACTAGTATTCGACCCGTGCTATGCACAGCTAAATGTATATGATAATGATATATATTAATATTTATGAATTTTAGATTATAAATTTAAAAATATTGACTAGAAGACAACGATGGCACTCAGTTGCTAAGACCATGGAACACCAGTTATTTGAAAATTTTCTTTTTGAATGAGTATCCTCCAGCATGTTGGGAGGATAGACAATGTGTTCTTTTGGGAAGCTGGTAAAAGTCAGTTTCCAGCTTTTTACCAATTTTGGATCATATCACCTCTCACATAACTTATCCATAAAAAGACAAAAAAAGCCAAAAAAGTCAAAAAATTATCTTTTTATCAACTTTCCAAAACAATCCAATGTGGGTACCATCACCTCAATTTGCCGAGGTAATAGAACCCAAGAGAAGTTGTGGAGACATATTTTTGGATTGTCCACATGGCCTAGATGGTTAGCCGAGGCGCCATATGGCTAGTCTTGGATTGCTGAGGTGTGACACGATCATATAAAAGTCTGAGATATTCGGATAAGGGACAAGAGTCCTAGGTAATGTTAAACTACCTGTTTGGGTAAGGATGGACTCTTGAGAGAGTTTATTCTAATTTAAATAGGAGGAGTCTTAGATAAATGATATCTTTATAAGGGAAAAAGTTCTATGAAGTAAGACTTCTAGGGGATGAGGGCACTGTTCATTATAAAATGAAGGTACCCCGTGGGTCTAAGGTATGTTTTAGTTTGTGAGCTTTGTGATTGAGTTGTTATCTTTGATAGATAAGTTTATTGACTTTATCGTCGGAGTGCTCCCGAGTGGACGAGCCACCAATATTTGTTGTCTACTTGTGTGTAGGTGTTCAGTTTCTTTATTTTGCCACATGCTCTTCGGCTTTGTTTCCTAAATCTCGGCGACGAGATTTGATTGGTTGTGAAGTCAAATTTCAACATCTATAATTATCTAATATTCTTATAAGAAAAATAAAAACAAATTTTATTTTGTATAAACATTTTTGGTAGGATTTATAAATTAAAAACTCAATTTATTTTGTGTAAGCATTTTTAAAAAAGATTATATTGTAAGGAACTTCGAAAACATTTCCATATTAATTAAGAAACAATAATGGCATATTATTTCATTTTAAAATTTATTTTAATTTTGTTTCTATTAATTAAATGTCTAAGAGATATTACCATATTATGAAACTCAATACTTTCAGAACATATGTATTTTTATGATTTATAAATTCAATAATTTGAGAAAATTGCGGTGAGACTTTAAGTCCTAAAAACCTAACAACGGTTTTACTTATATTATATAATAATTGTCTTTTTCAAAGTTGTTAAATTAACATTTTAGAGGAGTTAAAGTTATTAAAGTGTCATTTATTCCACTATTCAAAATGAAATCCAAAACTTACTATTACAAGAGATTTGATAGTCAAAGAACTAGCCACGTGCTACAATCTCTTGGTTGTACCATTTTTTTTATTTTTTACGATAAACTTTGTTACATTCAATCTCTGACCAGAGAATGGGGCTATAGGAATATATATTTTCATATTTTTTAATTAATTAATTAATTTATTTGTTATTTGAGTACATGCACGAACATTGAATAGTGAGAAGCAACCATTCTAATTTCATATTAAGATGACAATTTTACCCTTTTTTATCTTCATACATTTTGTTTTCTTGTAGCGTACCATGTTTTGGAGAGAAAACACTTACCTTTGGGGATTATTGTTTAGGGGTATTTAGGCCAAAATTTTTGGGCCCCCTCTTAGTGAAGGAGAAATTTCAATGCAGTGTAAATGTTTAAAAAAAATTATAAGTAAATAATAAATTTTATACACATTAGTATTTAAAATTATAATTTTTTTTATTTATGATTTTGTAATAATTTTTAGTGTTCCTGCTTGACAAGTAACATCCCTTTTAGTGAAAAGTGTTAGCATATTATATTAGCCGAAAGTGTTAGCATATTATATTAGCCGAAAGTTACACTAGGGTCTGTAATCATTTTATGCCCTCAGGGATCATCTTGTAATTGTCTTTCTTGTAAACCCTAATCTTCATTTATAAATAGGGGGTGATATTCTATCATACCCCAAGCTGGTTACCCAAGCTTCATAGTATCAGAGCTTACACCTCTAGGGTTAGGGTTCAAAACGTACCTAGTTGGATCATTTGCTGGGTCGATCTCCTCCAGCCGTCCTCTGTCGTCTTCGTCTACGTTTGCTTCATCTTCGTCTGCTCCTCAGCTCATCTTCGTCTTCATCTTCGTCTCAGCTCCTCAGCTCGTCGATCTTCTCCAGCCGTTCGTCGCTCGTCTTCATCGCCCTCGTCGTTCTCGTCACTCTGTCATCTTCGTTACTCTGGTATCTCACACCCTTGGTTTATATAAATATATATATATATATATTTTCCAAAAATTCCCTCAACCATTTTGTTACAGGAAGGACTTTGAACATTATGCCTTTACCTGCTTCCAAGCTTTTGGAGACAGAGTGAAGTACTGGATCACTTTCAATGAGCCTCGGGGTGTCTCAATAGATGGGTACAACTGGGGAATTCAAGCTCCTGGGAGATGTTCACTTCTCGCCCATGTTTATTGTAAGAAAGGAAAATCATCCACTGAACCATACATTGTAGCTCACAACATCCTCTTGGCTCATGCTGCTGCTTATCAGACTTACCAGCGCCATTTCAAGGTACTCCTGTCCTCATGTGCGCGACATAATTACTAAAAATCATAATGTGCACCCCTTAAAAGGTGCACATCGTAAGAAAAATTGTGACTTTTGCAGGAAAAGTTACGAATTTTTTTAGTGAAAGTTACGATTTTTGTGGTGAAAGTTATGAATGGCGAAGCTAAGATGTGCACCCCTAAAATATTTTTCTTTTTATAAAAGTTAGATGTTTTGTGATGAGCGAAAAATGTACACTTTTATAGTAGAAGTTATACTTTTTGTATAATGTGCATACCATGTGCACCATTTCCCAAAAAAAATTAAATGAAAAGAGAAGGGAAACTTATTTGAAATTTTCTTTTTCTACTCATTTGGGTTTTCCAGGATAGTCAAGGAGGACTGATTGGGATAGCCCTGGATGCAAAATGGTATGAGCCAATGTCTGATTGTGATGAGGACAAAGATGCTGCAAGTAGAGCAATAGATTTTGGTCTCGGATGGTAATTTCTCAGAGATAATATCTCATAAATCTATGTTGTCAAATTCAGAGCATTTTTATGAGTTTTTTTTTCCTGGGTACATAGCATTGTTGATTTCAATAGATTAGTCCGTGTAACTTTGAAAAGGTGAATCAGGTTCCTTGATCCGCTTCTGCTTGGCGAATATCCTCTTTCAATGCAGAAGAACGTCGGTGAGAGACTACCTAAGATCACTCACAAGTTGTCAAGATCGTTGGTTGGGTCTTTGGACTACATAGGCATAAACCATTACACCACACTGTATGCTCGGAACGACAGAACTCGGATTCGGAAATTCGTAATGCAGGATGCTTCCGCAGATGCTGCTGTGATCACTGCCTGTAAGATGCTAAAGCCCTACAATACTATTACATGTCTAATTGAAGATAGATTAAAATTGAAACTGATTATGATTGTTGTATATGTCCTCAATTTTTAGCTTCCAGGCACGGAGTTCCCATTGGAGACAAAGTATTTCCTTGCCTCTTCGTGAGAACTATAATTTCATGTTAATTAGGATTAAGGACAAATTACATTTCACTCCCTTCAATTATGGGCCGTTGTCACTTTACCACCTCGAACTAAAACATTAACTACATTTTGCCCCTCTAATTTTCTAATTTGTTTCAGTCTCAACTTTCTGGTAACATTTTGCTATGAAAAGAGAACGGAAAAGTGGCATATGAGTTGTACATACAATTATATGACAAAAATGTTCACTCAATAGTTAGGTTATATACATAGGAGAGGGGGAGATATATACATACATCCCACATATATGTAAATAAATCAGCTCTTGAATGAGCATTTTCGTTATAAAAATGATATGAGCACCTCACATACCATTTTTTCGTCATCTTTTATAACAAAATGTTAATAGAAGTTTGAAATTGGATCAAAGTGATAACAGCCAATAGTTGAGGGGGGTAAAATGTAATTTGCTCTTAAATTAAATTAAAATCTGATCATGACTTCTTTCTCCTCCAGGCTGCTTCTTCCTGGTTACACATAGTCCCATGGGGCATCCGGAAATTAATGAGATATGTGAAGCATAAATATGGAAATCTACCAGTGATAATCACTGAAAATGGTGAGTAAATTGCAGCCTCAGAAGTAAAACTTCCTCCAACTTCTGTGACATGTCACACTGGTTTAAGTTCATGAATGCAGGTGTGGATGATCCAAATAAGTTTTACATACCTTTAGACAAGGCTTTAAAAGATGACAAGAGGATAAGATTTCACAGGGACTACCTCTCAAACCTCTCTGCTGCTATTAGGTACTGGTAAAATCCCAAGCTGGTTCTTCACTATACTTTGTCACAAATACATTTTGGGGAATTAGAAATCAGTGGAAAGAAGTTAAAAGCAACACTCCATTTGTTTCTGTGAAAACCATTTAAAAAAAAAAAACATTTACCATGATGAACTTTCCCAGTAAATGTTTTCTGTAAAAACCTTTTTTTTATTTTTTATTTCAATATTTGGTTGCAACCTTGAAACTAATGTGGTAATTTTTGTAGTGGTGGAGATGGTGGTGTGGTAGCCGTAGTGGTGGTGTAGTGCCATTGGTAAAATATTTTCCACCTATCAAAAGTGAAAAATATTTTCTACCCAAATAAGTTTGTTTTTTGTGGATCATGGAAAACGTGTTCTGTCATACCAAACGCTAGAAAATACAAGCGTAATTGCAAAACTATGGAGGTGCAAGTGGGGCTTCTGCTCTTGTGCAAGGCCACAATTTTCATTTGCACTATAACAAAAACCTACTTGCACCTTCATATTTTAGCAATTATTTTCACTTCTTCCCACTGATTTGCAATTCTCCCAATTCATTTCTTGCAATCTTGCGACTCTAAAACAATAATGCTTACTAGCACAAAAACATAACTAACAAAAAACTTTTAAGTGTTGTCCAAATTCATTCTAGGTGTAGTGGGAACTACACTCAAAATAATTCCAAATCACACATTTATTTTTGGGGAAAGCACCAATAAATCCCAAATTTAGAAATGTTAATCCATTTATTCTCGAAGGTTTTTTGTTGGACTAATAGGTCCTATTTCTCTAAAAGCTTACTATAGGCCTTGTTATGTCAAACATTATTCATCAAACATCAAACATCA